TCTCTCTCTCTCTCTCTCTCTCTCTCACACACACACACACACACACACACAAAACCAATGTTGAAATGAGAATGAATCTTCCGCGATAACGTGGAAGATTCATTCTCATTTCAACGTTGGTTGTGAGAGAGAGAGAGAGACGTTGAAATGAGAATGAATCTTTTGTGTTATCGCGGAAGTTTCATTCTCATTTTAACGTTGGCTCTGTGAGAGAGAGAGAGAGAGAGAGCAAGAGAGAGGGCGTCAGGCAGTGTTTGGTGCCGAGTTTGGTGAGAGTGAGAGAGAAAGAGAGAGAAAGAAAGAAAGAGAGAGGGCGCCAGCGAGTGTCTGACGTCGAGTTCGGTGCACCAAACTCGGCATCAGACACTGGCTGCCGCCCTCTCTCTCTCTCTCTCTCTCTCTCTCTCTCTCTCTCTCTCTCTCTCTCTCCCCAAACAAGACCACCTTCAACCCCCCCCAACTCCCAATCCATCCCTTTTCAACTCTTATTCCCGCCTCTCTCTCTCTCTCTCTCTCCCTCCGAACAAAACCACCTCCTCACTATCCCCGGTTTCACTTTGATCGTTTATTTACAGACCCCCCCGGTCCGGCCCCGCGCCGCAAGTATGTATTTCCCGCTTCGACGTGGCCTCTCCCCCCTCCCCTCGACTTTTTCCGTCGAGGCACCGCGTCAGATGCTTCTGAACGGCATTGCGGCCAGATACATCCCGGAACCGAAGTATCTCTCACGCAGCTCCCGGAGGTCGATAACTGCAGCAGGAAGTTGCTCTCACCCAATCACCGAATTACCCATCACTGAGCCTCAACCTAATTAAGCCCAAGAGCGCTGACAACAGAAAGATTCTCTCGTTTGCCGCTCAAACCCCTCGCGACACCGCCGCCGTCAGTTACTACTGCTGTCACACACGCGGCCACTCCGCTTACAAAACGTAGCCGCGGACCGCGCCGAGGAAGCGGAAGGAGAACGGCTGCTCCGCAACATGGGGGGCAGCCTCCGAAAAGATCTCCTCATGGCGGGAGCATTTTACAGAAATCCCCCCCGTAGACACATCACTGCTATGAAGAACAACTCCCTCCCTCCCCTTCAACACTGATCCTCGTGAGATTCCTCCCACCTTTCCCAGGACAACTTTGCGCTCGTTTTTCGTGCTTACTTGTATCCCGTAAAGCCACCGCCCACCTACGAACCTCCCTCTTGACCCCCCTTTTCACTTACCCCCCCGCCCCCCCTTTTACTTACCCCCCCTTTTTCACTTACCCCCATCCCCCGGCCTTTTCTTCTCCCCTTCGCCCGACCACCGCACATCTCATTTCTTATTCGTTTTCCTTCGCTCATAACCAAAAGACGAACTGACAGTCCCAACGGAATCAAAATCGTTCGCGCGCCCTCTTTACCCATCTTTGCGCTTCCCTTCTCCTCCATTCATTCACCACCTCCCACCCCCCTTTGCTCCCATCTCCGCCCTGCAAAACCGAGAACTGAGAAATTAAACCCTCTCCCGCCCGCCCACCCAGCTCAACAGGCGCTGGGCCCCGAATATTATTCAGGACCGTCAACATTATTCTCCCTTGATTGGAACCCTTTCCCGCCTCTACCACAATCATAACAAGCTTTTTCAACAGCCACGCACATCCCAACTCCGAGCAGGAACTGCCAAGCATCATATATATACAGATGAGATGCCGTCTTCACCCGAATGGAACGCCCGGTCATTAAAGCTGCTGCTGCATCTGGACTGAAAGTTGCCCTGAATACAGCTATAATGACCTGGCGTTTTCGTTGGGTGAAGACGGTAGGCAACCAACCCAATATATTGTCACATGAATATCAGAGCGCAAAAGCGAAAAAAAGAAAAAAAAGAAAAATGAATTCATTTTTTTATCTTCTTCCTTACAAGACTCCCCCTGTTCAGAACCTCTTGCGTACAAGGCCGCCCACGTGGATGTAGGTTGAGCAGCGGCTGCCCCCACCCCCCGTGTGTCATATCACCCCCTTGCACACAGCCAAAAGGCAAAGAGACAAAGAAAAGAGGAAGGGAACAGCCAAAGAAAACAGACATCCCAGATGACAATAGATAGATAACCAGATCATAACCCTTAAATTGCCTTTGCTTCTGGAAAGGGGTTTCAACTACCTTCTTTCCCCCGAATAAAACGCCTCGATTATTATCGCTCTGCATGTGGACTTCAAGTTGCCCCACATACAGCGAGAATGACCGGGCGTTCTATTCGGGTGAAGACTACCAAGGGTAATCAATCCACATGTTCCACGTCCACTGCTCATGCCACCCACCCACACGTTTATCTTACTAATAATGGTTTTGACTCACCTTGGCGTAGCGCGCTTCGAGGAGCGCGCGAGGATCGCGCTCACTAAACTGGCTCATCCTCCATCGCCCTATTGCCGCTCCGGTCACTTTCTCCGCGCCGCCGCTTCTTCTTTGAGCCACCTGAAAGGGGAGCGAGAATTACGCGGGAAGTTGAGAAAGCGACCAACGCACACAAGACCCGCCAAAAAACTAAGAACGTAAGCCAATCAAGCAAGCAATTCAATCAATCAATCAACCAATCAATCAAAGTCAATCAATGAAAATCAACCACTCAGTCATTCAATCAATCAATCAATCAATCAATCAATCAACCAACGAGAGCCAATCGTCAATCACTTCCCCAATCAACACTTCAATCAATCAACCAACGAGAGCCAATCGTCAATCACTTCCCCAATCAACACTTCAATCAATCCAACCCTATCACTGAAATGAATACTGTATAACCGAACGGGCGGAACGGGGAAACAGGTTACGTTCGTGTGCTAATGCTTCTTCCCATCCCATTAGGTTATGGAACTGGTAAGAAAAGTCGAGAGCGTCGAAAAACACAAAACAAACAAACAAAAAAAAAAAAACAGCATTTCGTTGAGAAAGCAAGGTGGGGAGAAATGAAAACGCCAAGACGTAGGGCGCAAATACCAAGAGAGCGGGGGAGGGGGAGGAGAGGAG